GCTGGGGCAGGCAGAACCGCCGTATCTTTATCACGGTTTTCCCAGGCCACCGAATGGCGACGCTGCATATGCTGACGCAACGCTGTAGTCCCAACATGGGCCCCCTGGCCACGCTTGACTTTCTGGCCACATAGTCGACATACGGCTACGTTTACTTCCTCGGGCGGCTTGACGAAAAATTGCCACACACCGCCGAGTAGGAAACTTTGCCCCCGCTACTCCTCACTGGCTGACTGCTACTTCCTCCGTGCACACCGGCACCACTACTGGCCGTGGTGGTAGGCTGCAGTGGAGCTGGTGCTCTACTCCGTGGCCGTTTGCCTCCACTGACACTGCTGCGACCCTGCTGCCTCCTGGGCAACCCACCGACTGTTTTGCTCGCTGCCAAGCTGGCACCCTCTTCTCCTGATGATGCGGAAGCAATAGCCTGATGACGACGAGGCTGCCAAGTGCGATCAGCCTCATCATCATCAATTAGGGTCTCCGCGTCACTACTAGCCCCCTCGGCTGCGTGTGGGTCAGGAGACAGACCTGTCTCTAGACCGGCTACCGAGCCACTCTCCTCGCCAGTACTTCTTCTTCGCCTGGCTGCTGAAGAGGCGGATGTCTCCCCCCGTTCCTGACCGCCCTCTGTTAGCTCTTCCTCACTGTACAGTGGGGCTGAGCCCACAGCATGCGATACTTCGCTTGGTGAGGGAACACCAAAGGACAGGGGCAGGTAGAGGACACGTGATTTCAGTGGGCTTGCTCCCGGGCCATGCCAACTAACGGTTGTGTCTGACGTACCCACCGACCGTTGGCTGTAGGTGTCAGAGGTGACCTGGGAAGAGGAAGACGACCGAGTCAACCAATCGATGACGGCAGGGTTGTCGGTGGAGACACGACCGCTGGATGACACCGGGAGCACTGGCCTCTGGCTGCGACTAGTGCTGCCTCGACCCCTTCCTCTGCTGCCACGTCTGCTCGCTCCTGAAACATTGCCTCCTCTGCCACTCCTCTGCGTGTTGTCTGACATACTCTTTAATTCAATAGTGGTTGTGAAGCAGAAAGTAACGATTCTGTGTCCCTGAGTAACAATTCTGTGTCCCCGAGTAACAATTCTGTGTCCCCTGAGTAACGATTCTGTGTCCCTGAGAGTAACGATTCTGTGTCCCGAGTAACGATTCTGTGTCCCCGAGTAACGATTCTGTGTGTCCCTGAGTAACAATTCTGTGTCCCTGAGTAACGATTCTGTGTCCCTGAGTAACGATTCTGTGTCCCTGAGTAACGATTCTGTGTCCCTGAGTAACGATTCTGTGTCCCTGAGTAACGATTCTGTGTCCCTGAGTAACGATTCTGTGTCCCCTGAGTAACGATTCTGTGTCCCTGAGTAACGATTCTGTGTCCCTGAGTAACGATTCTGTGTCCCTGAGTAACGATTCTGTGTCCCTGAGTAAACGATTCTGTGTCCCTGAGTAACGATTCTGTGTCCCTGAGTAACGATTCTGTGTCCCTGAGTAACGATTCTGTGTCCCTGAGTAACGATTCTGTGTCCCTGAGTAACAATTCTGTGTCCCTGAGTAACAATTCTGTGTCCCTGAGTAACGATTCTGTGTCCCTGAGTAACAATTCTGTGTCCCTGAGTAACGATTCTGTGTCCCTGAGTAACGATTCTGTGTCCCTGAGTAACGATTCTGTGTCCCTGAGTAACAATTCTGTGTCCCTGAGTAACGATTCTGTGTCCCTGAGTAACGATTCTGTGTCCCTGAGTAACAATTCTGTGTCTGTCCCTGAGTAACGATTCTGTGTCCCTGAGTAACAATTCTGTGTCCCTGAGTAACGATTCTGTGTCCCTGAGTAACGATTCTGTGTCCCTGAGTAACGATTCTGTGGCCCTAAAGTCTCTGTGGCCCTAACTCTGTCCCTAATACAGACAGGTCTGTCTCTCTTGAATGACCGGAGGCTAATGGAGAATTCTAAGATGGCCGCGATTTATAGCTCCACCATTACACAGTGCTGGCTGGCTGGCTGCTGATTGGCTAATGCGATCACATGTCATGAATGAATGCATTATGGGTCAGCGCGCCTTGTCTGCGCGCCTTCCCAGAGATCCCCGCTCCGTCGCCACACATGTCGCCGCCATTTTTGGGAAAATTCGATTCGTGCATCCGAAGTTTGCTAATTTTCGGATTCGGCGCGAATCGAATTTTTCCTAATCTTCGAAACGAATTCCACTTCGCCATGTTCGATTCGCTCATCTCTATTAATTTCTTAAAAAAAAAAAAAGGAGGGTGCCAAATGCCAGTGATCTTTGATTTCTTTCACATTGTTCAGGGAGATCTCCACCTCTCCAAGGTTACCTAGTCAGGCATTGAGTTATTTATTCATATACAGCTGTTTCAGGCTATTTGACATTAGTGCAGTGTTTCTAAACTATGGTTTCTATCAATATGCTCAGTGAGATATTAGCAATCAAAAATTCTCAACTCCAACAATCAGTGTATACTGTATATAGTACAGTAAAGCCTTTTTAAAACTGAAGGTGTCCCATTTCATCCCATATCCAAAAATAATAGGATTGTTCCTCACTTGTAAAGCAAATGCACATACAGAATTGTTTATATAGAGTAAAAAAAATATGAATAACAACAGTTTGGATACTTATATAAAAAACAACTAAAATATAACTGACCTTGTGTTTCACACACAAGCAGGGTGCAGTGGGTTAAACTGAGATAAAATAGAAGAAATATTCCTTTTTAAGCTACATGGGATTAAAAACAGCTTCTCCTTGAGTATATTGGCCCGCAAGATACAAGAGGAGAAGGTCAATGTACACTGAGAAATTCCAAACTCTCTGGTTGTCCGTTCACATATAAGGAAGTTTTATTCAGACTTTTCTCCAGGATTTCTTCCAGGATATATATATCCAGTTACAACCAAGAAGATGTTTCCAAGAATACTGATCAGCAGAGTTTGATGATCATAGAAGAAATGTCAGTCAAAATGATATGTTAAAGAAGAATTCTAGGTGTGGATATTCTATATTCTATACAATGTTACATTGATCCAGCTTTGACTAATGTAACTATATATATATATATATATATATATATATATACACACCATACCTGGCCAATGTCCCTGAAAGCTGGAAATCACTGAAGTGGACACTGCTACTACAGCAATCTCCACTGACTTCCTAGTCCCGAGCTGAGTGCCTGATGCCTTGAGATAACAGGAGATCAACCACTGGCCATGGGTGCCATTTAGAGAATGCTTTGCATTTTCTGAATTAATGTAAAGTAGTCTCTGATTGGGGAAAGCGGAGAGCATGACATCACCACCCTGCCCTTCTACCTCGTTCAATCAGAGAACACTTTGCATTCATTCAGAAAGTGCAAAGTATTCTTTGAATGACACCCATGCCAATCAGCTGACCTCCTGTGTTCAGTAAACTGGAGTGCAGCCTCTCAGTGCAGGACCTGGAAGCAAGTAGAGGTCACTGGAGCAGCGGTGTCTACTTCAGTGATTTTCAGATTTCAGGGGCATCAGCCAGGTATGGTGTATACATAGTTATATTGGTAAAAATATACCATGCATGGAATTCTCCTTTAAATTGTATGTCAAGCCAAAACATTTTTCCTATTGGTTTTGAATAGAGAGCATATAGTACAGAACCCTATTGGTTTTTTACTCCTATCCTGGGATTTCTTCTAACTTCCTTTTCTGCTAAAACTGTATTACTAGACAGGAAGTAAGGGGGACTATCCAACAGCAACACAGACAGAAATAAAAATGCTTTTCTTTCGTAGAGTGGGGAAAGGTAGAAGCCCCATGTTAGATGGAGTAGTCCCTGTTGGAGATTGTCTCTCACTTTCTCTTTGGAAACAGGAGTTCTAATCATTCCACACTCTATCTAAAACTGGAAAAACAGAAAATTGTATCAAATACTTACAGTATGTAGCACTCCTCTGACCCCCTGAAGGCAGGATAACACCACCAGAGACAGGGAGTGAGCAAGCATTTACCTCGGGGGCCGGATCCATGGCTACATTGCGGAATTTTGAACAGAAAATTGGGTGCCTCCTAATGTAGGAGGTAGGAGGAGTGAGGCTTAGAGGCCCCAGATAACAGCAGCAGACAACTTACAAACTCTTCGGACCCAGAACAAAGTCCAACTTCACAGTATCAGAACCTTTAAGTCGAACCAGCTACACTTTTTTCAGACTCTAGTGTGTCCAGTATGCGAGACACCAGGCCCTTCTGAGAGATCAGCCTTCATCCTAGCTTTCTCCAGCAAGGGGCCTCCCCTGGATCTCCTCACTTTAACTTGAATTACTCCACACCAGGCAAGGCATCCTCAGGACCACCTCAGCATAGATAGGCCTCAAATAGGCTTCATTGCTTATTCACAGAGCAGGAAACTTACAGTAAGTATTTAATACTATTTTTCGTTTTCCTGGCAGCATACATGTGGTAGATCAATAACTACCTACTAGGGTGGGAAGCCTAAGCAAATCCTTTGTTATAAAAAAGTGAACAAACTATCACCTTGCTCAAAGACAGTTGTAGTGAGGACTACTAAGCCCATCAGTAGTGTTGAAAGAACTGGCTGTTGTCTGGGCATTAAAGTGTTACTAAACCCAGAGAAACACACACGTAGCAAAGCCACTCCAGGTGAGGAGTATGGATCATCCATTGACCATTAGAGTGAAGGTGCACGCACAACTCATCTGCGAAACTGCAAGGTAAAGAAAATCTAGGATCCTTAGCACTCTTCAATCTTTATTCGTTATTGGTAAAATCCATATCACAGACAGTGTCAGGGACAAAAAGGTTAACACGTTTCACACTGAAAACTAGTACTTATTCATACTGGTTATGAATAAGCGCTAGTTTTCAGCATGAAACGTGTTAACCTTTTTGTCCCTGAACATTGTCTATAATATGGATTCTACCAATAACGAATAAAAATTGAAGAGTGCAACAAATTCCGGATGTTCTTTACCTTGCTATTACTAAACTCACAACAGTACAATCAATCTGTATATGAAGTAAAGCACGCTTGTTATACTCACTGTGGAACTTAGGGGGTTAATCCTCTGCATTGTGTAAAAAAGATGTTTGATTCTGTCTTCTCTGATCCTCCCCTTCTTCCACAGTCCCCATTTCATCTCCTGATAGAACAGAGCCTTTGGGACAAGCTGCACATGCTCAGTTTAGTGTGTATTGCTAGAGAGATTTTTTTTTTTTTTTTCTTGGGAGGGTGAATGTGATCAGCACTGTCCAGACAGAGGGTCAGGGGTCATGCAGCTTCATAGGACAGCCATGAGAGAATTAAAACTCCTCCAAGTTTTAACTAGTGCTCTGCTGGAAACTGATAGAAATCACAAGACTGCTTTAACTGCTGATGAGAAAAGGTATTTTGCAGTTTATATTTACTAAAATAATTGCATTTCCATGTACTGTGAGAGACCAGATATAGTGAATGTAGGGCCCTGGGTTTAGTAACACTTTAACTTTTTATAGCTTTGCACTTGTTTTTTGGGCAGACGTAGGCAGGGATACTACCACATGTATGCTGCCATGTTGGTGCCAGGAAAAAACAATTTTTGACTTGACATACAGCTAAATAAATAGTCTAATGCTATAGAAGTATAAAGTGTAGGAAAGTGCTTTTGGCAAATGTTGGAGCTTCTGGATTACCTATCTGACCCTGCAGACAATCATAGGTCAGACTGCATAAAATCATATAACAGGCTGACTCTCTGAATTCCACATAGGGAGTGCTAAATGTAGATGTTCTATCATCCGCATTTGAAATTTTATTTTTTCTGATCAGGACTGCTGGGTGGCTATAGTCACATGGTAAGTGGTGGTGGATATGTATTTATTTGTTTCTAATGAACACAATAAATAATTATTTCTCCTACCTCCAGGCAGATAACAGAACCCTGGTGATCTCTGAACACTTTGAGTTGGTCTCCTGTGACCATGTTCCACTTTCGGATGGTATAGTCTGTGCTTCCTGAAAACAGTTCCTTGTTGAGGACATCCAGCACAATACACAGTATGGCTCCGACATGTCCCCGTAAGGTCTGGAAGCAGCAACCACTGAAGGCTTCCCAGATTTTCACTGTGCAGTCTGTGCTCCCTGTCACCAGAAATTCCTTCACTTCCTTCCCTTCCATGTCTGAGGCTTCCAGGATATCGTTGGATGAAAAATGAGCCAAGGCCAACACACAGTTTCTATGACCCTGAAACTCCTGAAGAGATCTGCCAGAGTCTATATCCCAGAGACGAGCGCTCCGGTCATAAGATCCACTGAAGAGCAAATTCCTGCTGACCAGAATCCTGTGGGAGATGAATAAACTAGTGATCTATTTTTATAGTTAAAGCATACAGTACCTAACCCCAAAAATATTGTTGCTCATGTTCCTGTAATGGTGAATTAAAACACATTCTGCTTGTATTTTTGATCATTCATCAAAAATGCACATTATATAGAGTTCAATTGTACTGCACCTAAAACATGTGTAAAAAGCACCGGGCCTAACAGTTAGTACTGAGGAAGAGCAGAGGGGGGATATCTGACTAGGTCTGACTCTGGTGCCTACTGGACTGTGTAAGTATATTTAGAGACATAGCACTACTATAACAGGAAAGTGAAAGTAAGCCTTGCATACCTCATTTCTATCATTTAACCTGAAAACCGAGTGAAAGAAAAATAGCAAGATTCCTTCATTAACACTAACCAGTGTGAATGGAGGAATCTTTCCTGCCAGCTATAAAATTTAAAGGATAAGTTCACCTTTTGGACAAAAATAATAAATGCACATTTTTTTGCAGGTAAAAAAATGTGCATTTATTATTATTGTCCAAAGGAGCCTGCAAAGCATTGAACCAGTAATCAGTAGATTGTTGATGCCACGCAGGTCTCCTGCAGACCTGTCAGAATATCTGCTTGCCGAACGGGATGTACAGTCAAGCAAAGATTCTGACAAGAAGCTTGAATGAACTACCACGCCGCTCCACAGCACTATGGTAGTTCATTGAAAACTACAAGCCAACAACCGCTAAGGCTGCCGGGACTTGGAAGCACTCATTCACAGAACTCTGTGAATGAGTGACACGGCCGTGTGTGTGGAGCCCAGCATGGCCACGCCGTTGTCAAATCTGACAGACAGTATGGGGAAACTTCTCCCCGTACTATCTGTCAGAGGGAAGGGGGGCAGCGGGCATGGTTGTGGCTATGGGAACATGTTACATATCCCACCCTAAAAAACGGGTGGAACATGTAACATGTTTTAAAGGTGTACAAATATATGTTGCGCTCCTAAATACTTCTCAATAAATAATTAAATTATTACCATTAAATTAATTCAAATTATGATACAAATAACTAATAAAAGTGTATAAATACCAAAAAATATTTAAATAGATAATTTCAACTAATCAATCTCCTCCAAATAAATATCAAAATAATTCCACATAAAATACTCCTCTGAAAAAATATTTTGCCAAGTGCTCATAAATCATTAGTGGCATGATGTACTTACTAATACCCTCAATTTCATTTATATTCATAATACCCTCATTTAATATAACAAAAATAATAAACCAACTAATAACACTCAACTAAAACGCATTTAAATGATCCCCATAAACAAAAATAACCAAATGCTCATAAATAACTAGTAGTGATTAGTATGAATCCAAACATCATCAAAATAATAGTCCCATTGAATAAACAATTGTTTGTATATAGTGACTTGGTGCTTGTTGTTCCTCAATTTGTGACTTTTGTGAATCCTTCAAATAGTGAAGATGTGCGCTCACCTCCTTTGATGCCTGCAATTAGGCTATACACGCTTTCGGTTCACTTTCCCTGGAACCTGCTGGACATATACTTTTGCTGGTAAAATTGGGAGATCCTTCCTTTAGGAGTAATGGATGTATCCTCTGGTGGCTGATTATCCCCTCAGGGATTACACACTCCTTTTGTTATCTCAGACCTCTTAATTATCCTCTCCTTGTGTTACTCCGCATGCAGGAAGAAATAGAGGACACAGTGCTTTACCTTTTAAAACTTTTTTATTCCCACCATCCAAGTATTAAACTCACATTAGACAAGTTTAAATAACGCAATATCCCATTGGAAATCCTCTGCTGGCCTCTGAGTCATACACCTGCCGTCTATCGTGATCACAACCCCCTGATGAAGCCACGTGATTGGAGGCGTAACGCGTAGGGGAGGGGCTACGTCATCACTCGGAGAGGAGCTGCACAACACGATAGACGGCAGGTGTATGACTCAGAGGCCAGCAGAGGATTTCCAATGGGATATTGCGTTATTTAAACTTGTCTAATGTGAGTTTTATACTTGGATGGTGGGAATAAAAAAGTTTTAAAAGGTAAAGCACTATGTCCTCTATTTCTTCCTGCATGCGGAGTAACACAAGGAGAGGATAATTAAGAGGTCTGAGATAACAAAAGGAGTGTGTAATCCCTGAGGGGATAATCAGCCACCAGAGGATACATCCATTACTCCTAAAGGAAGGATCTCCCAATTTTACCAGCAAAAGTATATGTCCAGCAGGTTCCAGGGAAAGTGAACCGAAAGCGTGTATAGCCTAATTGCAGGCATCAAAGGAGGTGAGCGCACATCTTCACTATTTGAAGGATTCACAAAAGTCACAAATTGAGGAACAACAAGCACCAAGTCACTATATACAAACAATTGTTTTATTCAATGGGAGTATTATTTTGATGATGTTTGGATTCATACTAATCACTACTAGTTATTTATGAGCATTTGGTTATTTTTTTTTTATGGGGATCATTTAAATGCGTTTTAGTTGAGTGTTATTAGTTGGTTTATTATTTTTGTTATATTAAATGAGGGTATTATGAATATAAATGAAATTGAGGGTATTAGTAAGTACATCATGCCACTAATGATTTATGAGCACTTGGCAAAATATTTTTTCAGAGGAGTATTTTATGTGGAATTATTTTGATATTTATTTGGAGGAGATTGATTAGTTGAAATTATCTATTTAAATATTTTTTGGTATTTATACACTTTTATTAGTTATTTGTATCATAATTTGAATTAATTTAATCATAATAATTTAATTATTTATTGAGAAGTATTTAGGAGCGCAAACATATATTTGTAGATATTTCTAACACAGTTGTAGTTATGTGTTTCATGTTTGCGATCCTCTAGTAATTATCACACCTGTGGCTCGCAAGTCACTCTGATTCATCTATACATGTTTTAAAGGTGAACCTATCCTTTAAGCAATTGCAACTGCTTGAATACCCGAAGAGTGACTGCATATGGAAGGATGCGTTCACTGTTCAGCCAATAATTTTTCACTCAGCTTCTTTGATTTTTCATTCAACTTTTGATGAGCTGAGTGTTGCCAACAGGGCCACCAACAGCTTCATTTTTGGGAAAACTGTCAGGTTTTTGGCCAAAATTTTAGCCATCTTAAATTGGAAGTAAAGACTGCAGATGCTTAAAGCGGAGTTCCACCTGAAAAAAAAAATAAATAAAAGTCAGCAGCTACAAAAACTGTAACTGTAGCCATCTTGAGCAAGGCAGATGATTTATGTAGCATTTACTTCCTAGAGTCCATCTGCTCTTAGCTCAGGCATGCAGGCAGGAATGAGTACTTAGCTGAGAAAGCCCCTCCTCCCTTCCTCCAGATGAAAAAAAAAAAATGCTCATGAGGACTCATGGGATGTATGACAGCATTTTGGCCTAGGCCAGAAACCAAGAAGCAACTTAAGAAATGTAAAAAAAAAGTTTAAAACAAGTAAATATAATATACCTTCCTATCTATTTACTCATAAGGATTTAAATAGTTAATGTTGATTGAGAGAGTTCAGTTCCACTTTAAAATCACTGCTTCTCTTCTTTCCCTATCTATTTTGTATAGTGCTGGCAAAAAAACATCTCTGTAAACATCTTATTTCAATTTGCTGTGGTCTGGTCACATGACATGGAAGCTCCAGCTACCTGCAGGGTACAGGAGGGAGCATCAACAGTGGATGGGCAATGGAAGATGGTGGGAGATGTGATGGCTTCTAGAATTCAGCCCCTTGTTGAGCAAACCATGACACAGGGGAGCCGAAACTTCTGCATCATGTGACCAGACCAGAGTGGATTGAAATACAAGTACACCCTCCTGCCTGCATGCTTGAGCTAATGCAGATAGATTCCATGAAGTAAATGCTACATGAATCCTCTGCCCT